GGACCGGGATTTGAACCAAGGACCTGCTCGCTGAGAGGCAGCAGCTCTACCAGTTGCACCACCGTGCTGCCCTGTTAATAATAATGTTTATTTTTATTTATTTATTTTATTTTAATATATTTTTTTTTCAGTAAGCTTAACTTTAGGACAAACACAAAAAGGGTACACTTAGGTAAAACAGTGTGACGCCAATTGACGACATTTATTTTGAAAGCGGTTTCCGGACCAGTAGCGTGAACGAGCATTTTGTTCCCAAAGCGTCAAACCATCCCAACTAAACCAGCAGCGATGCTGGTTTAGTTGATGCTGCGCCTCAGTCCCTGCGATGAGACGCAGTTTACACCGCCATGTTCTACTAAAAAACTTTTCTTTTTTAATAAACCTCCGTGAAAACCTTATAACAATAAATACCATAAATTTCACCTCCAAACATTTGATCACGCCGCTGCATTAAGGAGCGGAAGTTGTTGTCGGAAACAATAGTCTTGTTTCAAAATAAAAGTACAACTCTGCTTGTCAAAAAAAAAAAAAAAAAGACTAGCGTTTTTTATTAGTCTTTGAAGTTTATTTGTTTGTTTGCTTGTTTTTTTTCATTTCGCATCGCACTTTATCAAAGAACACTACGTAAGTCTGCAGCAAAACAAATAAATCAAATCCATATAAATGTGATGTTTCAAACAAAATGTTCATAAAGGAGAAAAAAATTAATCAAAGTTGTGCAGTGTCTGTTAATTGAAAAGTAGGCTAAATATAGCAAAGGCTGATGTATGTGGTCTTTAAAGTAAAAACAAAAAAAACAATAGTTTATTATGTAAAACCTATCTCAAAGTCAAAGTCAGTTTCTTTATTTGTCATTCGCACCACATGTGGTACATGTAGTGGAACAAAACTGTGTACACAGGGTTCCAGTAAATTATTAATTAAAAACTGTTAATGACATACTGCTAAAAAAAAACAACAACACAAAATAGCAACAAAAAAAATCACTTAATGTCATCTTTTTTGTCTCATGAAGTGGGTAAAGATAATGGGTGGATGGGTAGTTGCATTTTAAATAATGTGATCTTATTAGCCATCATTTTTATTTGACATTTAAAAAAAAAAAGCTGAGATTAACAAAAACTTAGAGACAATTAAAATAAAACTGTCTGCTCATAATAATTAATTTTTAAGCTTGTTTAAATGTAAAATGCGAAACACACTGTTATTAATAGTTAATGGACAACTACACAATTCACACACAGGTTTGCTTTTATTACTGATCAAGACTCTTCACACAAAACATAACCTACGAATAATGAACAGCTGTGACGTTTCAAAAACTTTAGCATACTCAAGTTTCATCTGTTGAAAGCAGATTTGCACATATTTTCTTTTTGAGACAATAAAGAACAAGCTGACACAAAAATTGAGTCATTTATCATAAAACAGCGGCCTCTACTGGACAATGCATGTTCAACATATAAATATGAAAGATTGTATGTATGTATGTTTTGTATGTTTTTATTTATTCATTTCATTTCATCCAAACAACAAATATAATACAATTTAAAGAAAAGAAAAAAGATATACAATCACAGAAATAAAATGAAAGGCAGCAGAAGAAGAATGAGTTCTTATAATATCTGCCCCTTGTCCCCAAAATATATTCCAAACAAAATTACTATACAAAAGCAAGATGAATTAATAAAAAAATAAAAAGATAAAAAATAATAAAAAAAACTTAGCTAAAATATAAGATCAACTGTAAACAATTTTTATGAACTCACATTATACTTAATATTTAAAAAAAACAACACATTTTTATCATCTTCTTGAATATGTACATAGTTTTGTCATTTTTAATATCAACCTCCAGATCATTCCACAATCTAATACCCTGAGATCTAGTGGATCACATCTTCAGACTGGTGCGACACCACGGCTTCACAAACATCTCCATCCCCTTAAGATAATAATTACTTTCTCTTTTAACAAATTTCCCTTGAATGTTAGTAGGTAGTATGTTTTTGTTGGCCCCCATACATAAACAGTAAGATATTGTAATCAACCAAGTCATAAAATTTTAATATCTTTAGCTGATGAAACAATATATTTGACGGATGGTTATAATCTTTTCTGGTAATAATTCTTATGGCTCTTTTCTGTAAAATAAAAATTGGATTTGTAATTGTTTTACATGCTTTACCCCAGACTTCAATACAGTAAATTAAATGTGGAACAATAATGGCATTATACAATAGAAACATTGCTTTATCATTGAATAACTCTCTAACTTTGTACATTACTGCAATCGATTTAGCTATTTTAGTTCTTAAGTTTTTTACGTGAGATCTCCATGTTAGTTTTTCATCAATGATGACACCCAGAAATTTCACCTCATTGACTCTATTCATTTCAATTCCATCGACTCTAAATGGAGTATCGAGCACTTTCTTGTTGTTACTAAAAATGATATAATTTGTTTTATCTACATTTAAAGATAATTTGTTTAGTTGAAACCAATTTTGTATTGTGATTAATTAACACGCAGCCCAAATAAAAATAATATTTATTTTACACATCATGTTGTTGAGTAAAGCTACTTGTCATTAGCAATTCTCACAGAGTTTCCGATGGGACCATGAAGTGTGATGTCAGCGTGGAGCGACTGGGTGAACGTGGTCTGGACTCTGGAGGAGAGTCCTGGTTTCAGAGACGCTGTAGAAGAACAGAACACCTGCTCTGTGGTCCAGGTTCACTCTGATCCTGGAGGAGTGAGAGCGTGTTGTTTCCATGTCTGACGCTAATATGACGTTTGATGACTTGTTATTATCTCCAATTTTTTCCTTAATGTCGTAATCTTTGTAGGCAACAACCACAGAAACGCCTCCAAAACTTTTCTCCACCTCCCAGTAACAACGTCCTGTCAGCCTCTCTCTGCTCAGGATCTGACCTCTGCACATCTGCCCAGATTGTCCAACAAACATACGTCACTTTTCTGTTCTCCTCTGATAATGACAGATGTGTTTACTGTGTCTGGATCCAGTGATTTCAAAGAAACATGTTATGAATCCAGCTGTGCTCCTTGGCTCTGCTTGTGGCAGATAATCATCCACTTCAGAGACTTTTGGAGAAACCACCTGTTCCTCACCTAGAATGTTCTTACTTTATCCAGTTCATTTCCGTTCAGTTTGTTCATATAGCACCAAATCACAACAGAAGTCCTTGTGTCAAAGAGACATTTTTGTGAAAAGGACTTTTTCATAGACTGCAGATGAATGTGATCAGTTGTGACGCACGAGCTTGTTAAAAGATGCTGCATCAGAATGACCGCACGAGGCTGATAAAGCACAAAATGTTTTTAGAAAAATCTGTTTTACAAAACACTACAAACCCACTGACATTTACTAATGACTGATTTCACTTATTTTTTACAGAGAACGTGTGTTTTTAGCATCTTTGTGCAAATGATAAATAATCTGTTTGTATTACGTGAGTTTGCTGCATGTTTTACTAAAGTGAAGTCTTGATTTGGTGAAAACGTCACTTTTTGCACCAATTCTTATCTTTTTTTTTTCATGGTTTTATTTTGTAAGAACTTTTGTTTTCTTTGTTTGCATCTGTGTCCGAATTATGAAAAATAATTCATAAATGACACAGAAATATTACTAAAATTCTTATTTTTCTTTGTTGTTCCCCATCACAGAGAGGAGAAAGAAATTGGAAATATTTGTCCATTCAACCATCTGTTCATCTGTCCATCTGTCCATCTGTCCATCTGTCCATCTGTCCATCTGTCCATCTGTCCATCTACCCGTCCGTTAATGTTGTGAACACGATAACCTGAAAAAACATGATGTATCAAGTTTCATTTTGGTGTGTGGATACATCTGACATAAGAAAGTTTCCTTTCAAAAATTGGGTTGCCAGGTCAAAATCCACAATGGCTGCCACCATACATGTCTGTCCCTCTAGTAAATCTGGATGACATGAAAAATAAGAAAGTTAACTTCCATTTTGGTGTGTGGCTGCATCTAGGAGTAAAAGTGATCCCTACCAAAAATTTGGTTGCCACATCAAAATCCAAGATGGCTGTCACCATATGTGTCATAAGAGCAACTTGTCGACGTCCATTTTGGTGTGTGGCTGCATCTAGGTGTAAGAAAAATCATCAGTGGAAACTGGATTGCAATGCAAATATCCAATATGGCCACTGCCACATACATGCATACTTATACATATAGGCATATACACACACACACACACATATATATATATATATATGTCTATATATAAACTTCAGTCAAGCTGACAGTTGCTCAGCTGATTATCAGAGACTTGGGATTGAACTGCAGAGCTGAAGACTCCCCTGCACCGTGTGCCATTGGTGAGATGAGATATCATCTCCCAGTCTGTCAGAGAAGAAACCTCCAGTAAATATTTAATCAGTGATTCGGTTCACCTTCCAAATATTCATGTGATCTAATCAACGTAATCACGGTGTAATCAGTTTTTTTCACAGGATAATGAAACTCCACTCCTGTTCAGTCGGGCGAGGAAGACTTTCAGACGCCTCCTTCATAAACAGGTGATCATGGAACTATAATATAAGATGGAGTTTGATTCTTTGTATGTTAGGAGCAAGATGTTTAAAATTACTTTGTTTTTTCTTTTTTTACAAGGAGCCACAAAAGCTAAAATTAGATAAATATAATCTCCCCTTTTAACTTTTATCAAAATACTGGCAGCAGTATTTTATTTTACATGAAGAGTTTTGAGGAGTGTTTCCCCAAACATATAAAATATCCAGTTGTTAACATCACAGATTATAAAGACCTATAATAGCCTTAAAAGAATAAAAGCATGAATACAGACACTAATGAGCATCTTTTAATGTATTTATTGTTTCCTCAAAAACACACACAAAAAACTCTGTTCTAAAATGTAAATGCTTTTCTGTACTGTTACATGTGCACCAAAATATAAATAAAATTAAAAACTCACTTTATCTCTGTATATGTATTATCTCTGACTACACTGCAAAGAATTAAAAATAAGCAAAACTGTACAACTTTAATACATTTTATCAATATACAACAATGCACAGCTTTCAGTTTGTAAAACACCAAAATATTCTTATTCAGTTAGTTTTAATGATAATACATTTAATATGTGAATATATGAATGCCTGATCACATCTTAATGTTAAGGACTCCTCACCATAATCATCTATAATGATTTACCACGGCAGACACGATGAATTGTTTTTAATAATTAGTGATTATGTGTTCACCCAGTTCGTTCACAGGTGAAAGGTCGGCGCTTTGAATGAGCAAAGTGGTGACATCATGACCTACTTCTGTCTAAAAAGATAAATGTGTGCTTATAGTTGTACAACTCACATTTTTCTAGGTAACGTTTTACATCACCAGGTGTGCAAACACACATGGAGTGAAAAATGGAATGAAAAATGAAAGAAATCAGTGAGATGAATGGAAAGAACTCTACATATTCTGGTTGTTGGACCTAAAAAGGTTTTGATTCGGCTGTGCATCGTTGTGCAGGCAGCGTGATCCTCCTCGCGGCCACACTTGTCTGATGGAGCAGCAGGAAGTGCTCCTGCAGGCTGCAGCCGTCTTTACAGACAAACACTGACATGGAGCCGTAATGTTGGGCCTGAGGAGCACATCGGGGAGCTGCTGCATCCTATTTGATGGGATGCTGAGCTCATTTTGGAGAGCACCTCATTCTCCCTGCCCTGTGGGATCTTAGCCACAGGCTGGAATACAGTAGAGTCTGTAGAATCTGTTTTTCATCAGACACAGTAATAGCCTCTCTGTTCTGTCTGCATGAGTCTAATGAATCACATCTACTTTAGCTCACCTTATCAGTTAAAATGTCTGCAAACGGCAGGAGAACATGCGCAATCTTGTTTTTTTGTTTGTTGTTTTTGTGTGGGGATTTACGTTACGTCATCTGGTTGCACACATCAGAAATCTGCAGGCGATTCATACAAAGTGTGGGATGTTGTTTCCAGCTCCCCCATTTCCTTTGGTATCTTGTCTAAACATGCACGTTTCAATCTTTTTTCTTTATATTTTAAACCATTGCTTTTGCTCCTGAAACCGCATAATACATACTTACATACATACATACATACATATATATATATATATATATATATATATATATATATATATATATATATCAATCAATCAACCTTTATTTCTACAGGTAAATCCCATTGAGCCTCGAGGACTCATTTACAAGAGAGACCTGATTTCAACAAAGAAAGATGACAACAATGGACAACAGCAACAACAATAAGCAATTATAAAAACTCATACTACAGTTTTTTTTTTTTTTTTTTTTTTTTTTTTTTTTTTTTTTTTTTTTTTTAACAAATAGGATGGCTAAAAGGAAAAAGGTAACAAAACCAAAAAAACAGCTAGATTCCAAGACAAATGTATAAAACTAAAAACAGGAACATGTCAGCATTGGACCCTGCCAGGAGTCCAACAGATTCTTAAAGCCACTTAGAGAGGTCAAGGTCGAGAGCTTCAAATCTTTTTGTAAGATATTCCAGGAAACAGGAGCGGAGTAGGAGAAGGTCCTTTTGCCTAGTTCAGTCCTCACTGAGGGAACACTGCAGGTAATAATGTCCTGAGAGCGCACTCCGTAGCTGCACTCACGCAGAGACATGTAGGAGGAGATGTATGAAGGCAGCAGACCAAGAAGTGATTTAAAGATGAAAATGTACCAGTGAGAGAGTCTGCGTGAAGTTAATGATGTCCAGTTAACCAGTGAATACAGGGTGCAGTGGTGGGTACGATAATCACAGCCAGTTATGAATCTTAGTGCACCATGATAGACAGCATCCAACATCTGCAGGGTTCTTGTAGGAGCGTTCATGTAAATAATATCACCAAAATCAATTGAGGGAAGGAAAGTCACAGATACAAGGCGTTTTCTAGCATTCAGGGTTAGACAGGATCTGTTTCTGAAAAAGAAACCCAGTTTAATTTTCAGTTTCTTTACCAAGTTTTCCACATGGAGCTTAAAAGAAAAATGTGAGTCGACCAAGATACCCAAATATTTATAGGAATCAACAAACTCAATGGGGACACCATTTGAGGATAAAATCGGAGGAAGAACTGCTGGGACCAACTTCCTATTTGAAAAAAGCATCCCTTTGGTTTTTTCGGCATTTAGGACAAGTTTGAGGTGAAACAAATCAGTCTGGATGTAGTTAAATGCAGATTTCAGAAGCTGGAAAGCCTTAGCAACAGTTTTAGCTCAACAATAAACAACTGTGTCATCAGCATAGAAATGTATGGATGCATTAGGGATGTTTTTACCTACATTATGTATGTAGATTGTAAAGAGGGTGGGTCCTAAGACTGAGCCTTGTGGTACACCATTGTTGACTGTTAAATAACTGGAGGAAGTACCATTATGTTGAACACATTGCCTCCGGTCTGAAAGATAGTTAGAGAACCAACCAATGGTGTGATCTGAGAAACCGATTTCTGAGAGTTTATGACACAAGATGTTCTGATCCACAGTGTCAAAATCTTTAGACAGGTCTAAGAAAAGTGCAGCACAATAATCCTTAGCATCCAGTGCTTCAACAACGTCGTTAAGAACCTTCAGTGAAGCAGTGGTTGTGCTGTGTTGTTTCCTGAAACCAGATTGATGTGGAGGTAAGATGTTAAATGAGTCCAGGTAATTTTTGATTTGAGAGTTTATCAGTTTTTCTAGAACCTTGGCTAAAATGCAGAGTTTAGAGATTGGTCCATAGTTGTTCAGTGAGGTGGGGTCACCTCCCTTCAGCAAAGGAAGAACAAAGGCTGTTTTCCAAGTGTCTGGGATGGAGTTTTGTCTTATGGAGAGATTGAAGATGTGGGTCACAGGGACTGTGATGATATGAGCAGCCAGCCTTAAGAAATAAGGTGGAAGTTCATCTGGACCTGCAGATTTTTTAGGATCAAGATCTTTTAACAGTTTATTGACCTCACTGACTGAGAATGGAGAAAAAGAGAAGCTGTGATTAACTGAGGATTGACTTGTAGGAGGGATTTGATTTGTAGAAGTTTGGTTATTAACCTTCCTACTATGTTAGGGTCCGTAGTGACCCATTTTAAATTTTAAATCATGATACTGTCTTTTAAATATTTTTTTTTGCATCAAGGCTTTTTGACTTTGTCTGAAACCTTTATTTAAATAAAAAATATATATATTTTTTTTCACTAAATTTAATTTTTATTTTTTATAGAACAACACGCACTTGCCGCGCTGGGGTCATTTGTGACCCAGTTATGGTATAAGACTATCAACCAATAATCAGTGTCAAAACTGAAATCATAAACACACTGTGACCTCACTAACTTTGTCATACATATGTTAGGGCCTTCTGTTTTTACCTGTTTGTCTACTTCACTGACCAAAACATCCCCATTTATCCGTACTACTTTTATTGATAAGTCCCTCATACTCTGCTCCCAAAAACTGAAAAAGTTCATCCAGCTGTAGATGCAGAGACATGTTGAGGCATGCCCATGTAGAGATGAGCCTACCTGGATAGCCATGCCCATCTTGATAGGCAGACCTAGATAGACACACCCACCTGGGTGTGACTCTACATGGGCATGTAGAGACATGTAGAAACAGACACTCCATTTTACCTAGAGCTTGGCTGCATACCAAAATGAAGAGAAGATTCACAGTACAAGAAGCTCTAGATCACATCCTTGCTGAAAATGATGCAGAGGACACACCTAGTGACACAGATGAGCCAGTTTCTGAGGAGGACGATGCTATTGAATATGAATCAGAGTACACAGACTCGTCGGATGAGGAGGGCACAGGTGCTGAAGCTGCTCCTGTAACTGAAACCTATAAATCCAAAAAGGGTAACATCACTTGGAGTGCGATTCCTCCTGTTTCACATGGCAGGGAAGCTGCTGAAAATGTTATGAAGATGACCCCTGGGATTACAAGGTTTGCTGTGACACGAGTAAGTGACATCAAGACATGCTTTGATTTGTTTATGCCATTGTCACTAAAGAAAGTCAAAATTGCTATGACAAACCTCGAAGGGAAAAAAGTTCACGGTGACACTTGGAAGGACATTGATGAGGAGTGCCTGGATGCTTTTATTGGTGTTCTTCTTCTCGCTGGCGTGTACAGATCCAGCAATGAGGCCCTTACTAGTCTCTGGGATGTGTCCACAGGCAGGAGTATTTTCCGCACAACAATGTCACTTCAGACCTTTCAAATGATCTCAAGAGTCCTCAGATTTGACAACAGAGATACTAGAGCACGGTCTGACAAGCTTGCTCCCATCAAAGACGTCTGGGATAGATGGGTGAAGCTCCTTCCACTGATGTTCAACCCAGGACCAGAGGTGACAGTGGATGAGCGTCTTCTCCCTTTCCGTGGAAAATGCCCCTTCCGGCAATACATGCCCAGTAAGCCAGGCAAATATGGCATAAAAATCTGGGCAGCCTGTGATGCGAAAACCAGCTATGCCTGGAATCTACAGATTTACACAGGCAAACTTGCAGCTGGCATCCCTGAGAAGAATCAAGGAAAACGGGTAATCCTTAAAATAAATAAATATACATGGGTCAAAACTTACCCTTAACACTATAAATGTTACTATGGTTAATAATATTAAAATAACAAAATAATAAGACAAATTTATTTTAGAGATGTGTTCTAATACTTCTTAAAAAAACACTGTTTTGAGGGCATTTTTTGGCTGATTTAAGACGGGTCACAACTGACCCGTTCACATCATAAGTGCGTGCGGGATCTCGCCCCGCTAGGAAGGTTAAGTGAAGTGGCTGATTTTCCATTAGTTACTGTGTCAAATAAAGAACCAGAAGCAACAAAATGTTTGTTGAGACAGTTCAGGATCTCGTGCTTATTTGACACAGGAACAGAGTTAACGAGAAGTTGTGATGGGAGGTCAGATGATTGGGGGGTGCCTGAGAGAGATTTAATTGTTTTCCAGAATCTGTTGGGGTCATTTAGATTTTTGGAGGTCTGAGATAAGAAATAGTTTCGTTTTGCTGCTTTGACAGAAGTTGTACATTTATTCCTCATCTGTCGGAAACTCAACCAATCGATGTCTGAGTCAGATTTTCTCGCTGTGGCCCAAAGATGATCTCTCCTGTGCAGGAGGTCAGCTAGCTCTGGAGTAAACCAGGGGCTATATATGTTTTATTATATATATGTTAGAATTTATTAGAAGCAAAAACAAAGGGGTTTTTTTTGTTCTGTGTAATTTTAGTAAACTAATTTCTCAAATACAGTTCCACTGTTCATACATGTACCAATAAATATGATTAAATAATTTATTTTAAGGCTACGTCAGCTCTAAGTTGTGTTCTGTTCACCTGCAGTGCTGATTTATATAAAGTACAAAATGTTAAAGATGAGAGGAAACAAACTATAGAAAACTTATTGAACAGCTCAGAGAGTCACATTTCATCAGTTTTATGATGAAGGGGGAAGATATTATTTACAAAAATAGGTTGGGTGATAAACTATTGTGGTAAAAAGAGTAAAATAAATGAAGGAAATTAATTTTAAACATCTAATCTTAGATGTAATGTTCAGTTTAATCAAGGTGATTGACAGGGATTAAACAGCTGCTGTTATTAGAAGTGAACAAAACAAGATTATGTAAATTAGATATTGTCATGCAAACTAACAATGCAAATAATTTAAATTAAAAAAGTATTTTCAATCAGATGTTTGTTCAGATTCTTTAACCTGAGATACCACTGAGTGGTTTAGGTTTGCTGAGCTGCATGGCATATACATTTGTATGAGTTTTAACAGAATACCCAGAGAATGTGGACTGAAACAAACAGACCAGTAGGTTAACAGTGTTTTATTTACGGTGAATAAGTTCATCAAAGTGTACGAGGAGGGAAGACATCGGAGGTAAGTCTGAGGTTGTGCTTGTCAAGTGGTTGGAAGTTGGGGAGACTGCTGAGGGAGTCACAAATGAACTCAGGGCCACACAGAGGAAGCTGCTGCGGTGGGCATGTAATGCTCCAGCAGCGAGGAGAGCTCTTCTGCAGCCTTTTATATTCCTGAAGCTCATGATCGAAATGATCCACAGGTGTGTTGGCATCATCTTGTGAGGAGGCTGTAGAAAAGGCTGAACTCACACAATCATGTTGTTTTACCTTTGTAACTTGGTAAAAAAAAATAATAAGTTTCAAGATCTGGCAACACAATGTCACAGTGTCAGTGTGTGCTTTAGGAAACTTTTCAGATCAGCTTAACTTTAGATCTGTTTTTGATGATCTTTTCTTTTCTGAACTTATCTCACCGTAACTTATCTTATCTTATCTTATCTTATTTTATCTTATCTCATCTCATCTCATCTCATCTCATCTCATCTCATCTCATCTCATCTCATCTCATCTTATCTTATCTTATTTTATCTTATCTTATCTTATCTTACTTATCTCATCTTATCTTACTTATCTCATCTCACCTCATCTTATCTCATCTCACCTCATCTTATCTTATCTCATCTCATCTCATCTCATCTTATCTCATCTCATCTCATCTTATCTAATCTAATCTTATCTTATCTTACTTATCTCATCTCATCTTATCTTATCTAATCTCATCTCATTTCATCTCACCTCATCTTATCTTATCTTATCTTATTTTATCTTACTTATCTAATCTCATCTTATCTTACTTATCTTATCTCATCTCATCTTATCTTATCTTATCTTATCTTATCTTATCTTATCTTATCTTATCATACATATCTCATCTAATCTCATCTCACCTCATCTCATCTTATCTTACCTTACATATCTCATCTCATCTCATCTCATCTCACCTCATCTTATCTTATCTTATCTTACTTATTTTATCTTAAATGATCTAATCTCATCTTATCTTATCTCGTCTCATTATATCTCATCTTATCTTATGATAAAAAATGAGACCTGCTATCACCAACTTTATCATTCTTTACTATATAAAATCATTTAAATTAATTTAAATCATGAGGTTTTGAATGTTTTTTTTTAATACAAAGGAGTAATACATTTTCTTTAGGTGGTTAATTAAAGAGTAATTCAGCATTAGTTACAGATAAAATAACAAAACTAATAAATCTTGTTTTAGTTCATCTTTCCTGACCTGATTCTTTTTAATTTATTTTATTTATTTTCAGCTCAGTCCTGTTCTTTTCAAGCACACGTGTAACAAAGAAGTTTACAGAGTAACAGGTGCAACAGAAGAGCCAGAAGTCATCGATAACAGTGAACATGAAGACCCTTCCTGAACCAACTCCGTGCAGTTTCACTGCAACGAGATCGTTTTAAACATCAGTCAGATTTATTAGTTCTTCTTCTCTGTCAGTCTCATCTATTCTCAGAGGCTCTGAATAACTTGCTCATAAAACGTGCTCGTAGGTTTGAAGAAAGCAGCAGTGTTAAAACGAACAGCTGATGAATCACAGCCTGAACACAGATGACCCCCCCCCCCCCCACTCCCCTCATGATGTCACAGCCTCCTAAAGCTGGCAGCGGGGGGAGAAGTCAGTCACTGCGCTGGCTTTAGCTGAGCTGATCTTCCCTCAGCTTCTCACAAAGTGCTGGAAGAATCTGCAGGATGGCTCCGGTGCACAGGACCTGCAGCAACGTGGAGCAGTCTGGGGGTGATCCAAGGTCCAAGAGGAGGAGGAGGAGGAGGAGGAGGTGCAAAGGCAAAGGTTAGTCAAATTAACTGAGGTTACTTTAACTTTACAGGAAAATGCTCACCTTACGTCAGACTTGTTTAAATCAAAATGTGCTTGTCTGTGTTTGTGTGTTTAACAAAACCACATTAAGGATGAGCTTAACATTACATAGTTATAGTTTAAGATAATTTATTTTATTTTATAAGTTCTTTGAGGCAAAAACAAACTTTTTTTAGTACGACCACAAAAACCAACAGATAATTTTAGATAAATTCCACAGAAAAACAATAAATGCTGTTAACAGTGTTCATAAAATTAAAATTAACCTTAACAAGAAGCAACACTTTAAAACAACACACGTGTTCGTCACGAAGCCTTTGAGTGAACACGGATGTTAAACGTGGTCACGAGATTGTTTCCACCTCTGGAGAACTTCTTGAACATCATCAGTCGTCTGTGATCAGTTCACCTGGTCCACGGTAACGCAACGAACTCTGACGTTCCTTCAGGTTTATTTATACGCAGAAGCACAATTTAATCAAAAAGACAAGAAAATAAGTGAAATTTTATTGGACACTAAATATTAGACAATCAAATCATTTCCAGTTTTTGCATCTGCAAAGTCCTGGACTTCAGTCTCATGCAGCTTTAAAGCTTTATGATTTAAATTAGTAATGAATAAATGAATGGAAAAGATCCAGGGTTGCTTTGGGATGAATGAAAATACGATGATGACCCACATTGTCCAGTTTTGGAAAGGTTGTATGTTATGATGGTGACATTTGAATTCTAACACTAAAACAATAAACGTGTTTATTAATGTGATGAATTATTAAGGCCTTTTGTCTCACCCCCCACCCCCCAGCTTATATTTATGTTTTTAATAACAAACCATGGATACTAACTTGGATACCCTTGGATGCTAGATGTAAAACATAAAAATGTGATCAAATGAATGTTTTTGCGTTCACTGTAAAGATCCATCCATCCATCCATCCATCCATCCATCCATCCATCCATTATCTTTACCTGCTTCTTCCATTTTGGGTCACGGGGGTCGCTGGTGCCCATGTCCAGCAATCACTGTGCGAGGGGCGGGGGACACCCTGGACGGGTCGCAAGTCCATCACAGGGACACTTAGA